ACATGGCGATTTTGCAGTCTTGACACACGGTGATTTGTGTTGGCAACGGCCGCGGCTGCCTATTGACCTGCCAACTGGCATCTGTGGGTATGTGCGGCCCTTTTCCCTTTCAGGGAATCTCTCTCTCCCTCTCTCTCACACACACACACACACACTCACACAAGAAAACGTCTGCAGCTATCCAAGACGGTATGACAAGTTGTCGTGTGCAAAATTAAATAAGTCTCACTACTGCAAAGTCTCTCTTCAGACCTCTCTCGTCCACGTCTGTCTGTCTGTCTCGGTTTGTCTGTACGTTGCCGTCTGTCTTGCGGCTGCTTGGTCGATACCACCGTACCGCCCATGCAGTGTGCAGCACACTCGGGGTGCGTTCGAACGCCCCCCTCCCGCACCCTCCGCCACCCCTTCCTTACGGGTCGTTTCCAAGGACACCCTCGCGAGGTGTTTTCCGAACGCCCCCCTCGCGCCAGGTAGGTACCCAGTCGCTAGGCGACCGGTGGTGGCGCGACTTGGCGGCGCGACGGGGCAGGGCGGCGTGAGTCAGACTGCATCGATCCGCGTCCGACCACGCGCCGGGCTGCCTCCGAAGAGCCGCGAGCGACACGTTTCCGGACGCGGCCGCCGCCGGCACGCGCTTGTTAGCGGACTGCACACACGTTGCAAATTGCTCCCCCCCCAGACGCGCGGCGACGGGACGAATCCGGATTCCGTCGCGACGTGAAGTGCGTCGTCGCGGTGGCCTCTCTAACCGTGGCATCCCTCGCACTGACTGACAGACTGAAACTACTATACTTGTCGCATTTGATGTTGCCAAATGTAAAACACCGCGGAATCATAGTGGTGTAAACAATATTATAATATCAAAAATAACAAGGCGAGCGGTCTGGAACAATAAGAAATAACGCTGGTATAGGCATATGGTGAAAGGTGCAATGTGTGTAGTTTTAAACAAGGGGACAATGCTGTATACTCGAGCATAGATAGATAGATAGATAGATACACTGTGAGAAAAACCTACAAGATAACAACAGTCTGGTGCTGTCAATTATTAATCAGTAGAAGATTGTGAAATTTTCATTGTAGATTGTGGGGTGAAAATACTGGAATAACAACATGATATTGTCATTTCAAAGTACAACGCTGAATTGTACAGCAAGTAGCTGTAGGTTTTTCTTACAGTGTAGATAGATAGATCGACAGATATATAGATAGATAGATAGATAGATAGATAGATAGATAGATAGATAGATAGATAGATAGATAGATAGATAGAAAGATAGGTAGATAGATAACCTTTCATTTCGTCGCATTGGCGCAGGGTGAGACCTTGTCCAGCTCAAATTCCTCAAAGTCGTCCCCGCGGTCGCACTGGTTGTCCGACAGGGCCTCCCCTGCTACGGTGTCTTTGCGCATTCCAGTGTCACAGTCCGGGAGCTTCTCGTTCTGGACAACGTACACGTGCTCGAACACGAAGGCCTCTGCGAACGATCTCCAAATGGCAACGAACAGGAGTCGCCTGCGCATGATCCATTTGACAGTGCTGCGCAGCGCGAGGACGAGAATGCACACTGTGACAAAGATTGAGCAGTAGGATCCAAACGTTTCGACTGACGACAGAAAAGAGTCGAACAGGCGAGCGCTGTCGAGGATGAGGATGGTGTTGTCGTTGGGAAAGGTTCTGTCAATGAGGATGGCGCTGTCGTTGAGGATGGCGCTGTCGTTGAGGATGGCGCTGTCGTTGAGAATAGTGCTGTCGTTGAGGGCGGCACTGTCGTTGCGGACGGCGGCGGGGTATCCGAAAGCCGACAGGAGGTCATTCGTGACCTTAGGATCATTGGGGTCATTTATGATCTCCGGGTCACGACCCAAAAAGTCCGCCAGGGGCGCGAGGCTAGGAGGCTGCGGGGCCGCTCCGAGCCGCTGCACCGAGACGGTCACGTTGGTAATGTTGGGCGTGAAGGCCACCCACTGGTCGTCGATGTAGTGCACTGGGAGGAGCACGGAGTCGCAGTCCACCTCCGTCACCGCGGAGGCGGGCACCAGGGCGCGCGTCGCGGGCTCGGCGAAGGCCGGCGTGTCGCCGTCCCACACGGGGATCTGCAGGTAGCAGCGGCCGGCCACGCGCAGGGGCAGGTCCCGGGCCTCGCACTGGGCGACGTACAGCACGTCCCCGCGCACCACCCCCGTGTAGCCCGGCGTGCCCCCCATGACCAGGCGCGCGGCAGCGCCCGGGGACACGCGCGCCAGCAGCAGCGCCTCCCGCAGCCGCGCGTGCTCCGACTCGCATTGCTCGTACGCGGCGAGGAGGGCCCGCTCGCGCGCCCACCGCTCCAGGAACAGCGACATGGCGTTCACGTGGTACATCATGTCGACATTGTCGGGGTCCATTTCCTTCTTCGTGAACGGGAGCGGGCCCTGGCCGTCCTCGCGGAGGAGCACGAGGACGCGGGGGTCCTGGGTGGGGTAGGCGGTCGCCTCGCACAGCGGGGAGGGGTCGTCCGTCCTGACCATCAGGGCCGCCAAGGTGGTGCCCGTCAGCACCGACAGGTAAGACGAGTTGCCTCCCACCGCGGTCAGGTTGGCCGGGCCCGAGTACAGCACGTCCAGCCGGTGCTCGCCGCAGTCGTCCATGGGCTCGTAGTCCCACAGCACGTTCCCCTCCGTCACGTCGCGACAGCTGCCGCCCCGGTACGAGCACACGCCCCCCGAGGGCAGGACGACGGTGTCCTCCTTGAGGTCCACGCGTGCCTCCAGGGTCCGCAGCGCGATGCGGGCGTTGCCGGCCGCCGCGATGCGCTCGTAGTTGTGGCCGTTGTACCCGAACCACATGCCGTGACAGGACGCGTCGTTCTGGAAGCTGCCGCGAATGGTCAGCCACCGGTCGTTGACCTCCTCGTTGACCCTGAGGCCCGAGATGGGGTTGCCGTAGATGCTGGCCGTGCCCCGGGTGTGCATCTCGTCGCAGGCGCCGGGTGTGAGCCAGTGGATGTTGGTGTCGCGCCCGCCGAGTACCTCGCCGAAGTTGCGGTTGTTTCCGAACGTGTAGCTGCCGACCAGGTGAAACGGAATCATAATTATATATGGCGCATCAATAGCCTATTTGTAATACTCTACTTGTGTTCCCATACGTGAAATACATAATTTTGTTACGGGTGCACCCAGAAAAATGGAAAGTCGGATCAACCATCGTGTGGTTACTTCAGGGACAACTATAATATGGTTAAGAAATTAACAATCCTACACTTGTCGGATCTATGTTTTCGTTTTGAGAACAATTTTAACGTTATCTCAACCATCACTTTATGGTTGTCCCTGAAGTAACCATACGATGGCTGTGACAACTTTTCATTTTTCTAGGTGTGTAGAAAGCAGTCTTACTGCGGTGCCATGGCCACTTCGCCCAAGAAGAGTACGCAAACCTCATGACACTGACTTGAACCATTTTTGAAGATAACAGCACAAAAAGAGCAACCAAAATGATGTCCTATACCTGGGGCAGTAGTACAAGCGCCTCTCCAGTTCCACGTGGCAGGTGCGCACCCTGATCTTGTTGAAGTTCCTCATCTGCACGACCTGCACCTCCCGGAGCGCCGGCGGCGGCACGGTGGCGTCGGGGGGGCCGCAGGGCGCCACGTCGACCAGGCCGACGGCCGCCAGCCTCGGACCCGGCTTCGAGCAATCGAACGACGTGAGCGCGCCGGCGGCCTGCAGGAGGAGTCCGAGCACGACGAGCACGCGCACGACAGCCATGGTGCGGCCCGAGTGCGGCCGTCCAGCACCGAGTATGTAAACAGGCGACATGGCAACTGCCGTACCAGTGTGCGGCGGTCACCCCGACCTCCAAGACCGAGTGGGTCTCGTGCTGCACTGAGTGAGCCGAATCTCGCGATAAAGCCGGCCGGATGTAGCTGCCGGCCCGGGTGGGAGAGCAATACACCAGGCGAAGTTTCGTTTCAAGTTCAACTGGAGGATGCGTTGCGGTGAGCTTAAGGGTTTTTTGAAGGAGCACCTGTGGATCACGGTCCTCGCCGAAGTCCCCGCCCCCTCCCAACGGAGGGTTCCGCATTCTCGCGCCTGCCCGCGCCCAGCCCCAGCCGGGCGGGGCGGGGCGGGGCGGCCAGAGGCACTCCAGTTTGGTTTCGTCTCATTTCATTTCACCTTGGAGTGCGTTCAGAAACCAGTCCGCGCAACGGGCGGACGGTCGGGCAGGACGGACCAGAGAAAGTTTTCCGCATTTGACCCTCATATCCTTGCGGCCGGCGGCCCGCCTCAAGGGAGAAAACACAATGAGGCCAAAAACTAGAGTATTTTGAGTCCAACTGGACTGAGATGATTATGAATCTCGGTTGGTTTTGCTGTGTGCAGAACGGCGAGTTCCATACAGCTGCACGCAGCTGACTGCATGAAGGCCGTGCACCGCCGCTAGCTGCTGGCGCGGGCACCCACGCTCGCCCCCGCCACGCCCCGCCATGCCCTGGGCACCCTGGCCACTCCCACTCACCACGGACAATACGCGAGTTATGAAAAAAAAAAGAAAGAAAGAATAATCGCCAACCGAACAAACACACAAACAATGGGGCTGCTAAGGACACCCACTACACGCCACCGCGAGGGTCGCCAATGAGCCGACGGACGGACAGCATATTCACTCACATGCTGATGTGTGCGGACCCCCCCGCGCTTGTGTGCAACATTCCCGATGCGGTCTGCAGGAGGCAGGCAGGCGCTTGTTAGGCCCCGCGCGCACGCACTGCACAGGGGTCATGCTGTACTTACGCCCCTGATGTCGCGTCTGGGTCGTGTGTCGTGCGGCCTCACTTGTGTGCGCGTATGTCTACACGCGCATGCGCGTATAAGAGAAGAGAAAATAATTCATACATGCCCACTTTAAAAGAAAATATTTTGACGAACGGACAAAGTCGAGGACAATTACTGAAGCAGGGAGCGTGTGGAAATTTAAGCTAGCCATAATTCTTGTCAAAGTCAAATATTACTTATTCTGTTCGTTAAGTCTTGCGAGATTTAACTTCACGATTTGAGTTCAAAAGTTTTCGCATTACCATGTTTTTTTTCCTGCCACAAGTGCACCATAACTCCTCGTAATCAATTTTCGAAAGCTTTTTCCTTGCCGTGTACCGTAGAGTCTTATATGGAAGAGGATCGATATGAGGTCGGCCGGTGGCTCCATGGACTGCAGTTAGCTTCTCACGCGACGACCTCCCACACACCCTCAGACCGGCAGCCCCCCCCCCCTCCCTCCAGGGGCGCAAGGGGCCCGCAGGAGGGGTTCTTCTAGAGGTCGGGGCGGCCGCCACACTGGTACGGAAGTTGCCATGTCGCCTTTTTACATAAATCGCGCATTAACCGTTGGCCTGCATGATGAGAGCACCCAACCCTTTTCTCCCCTCCTCCCATCCTAGACTAGCGGTGGGTGCACGGCCTATCTCTGGGTGTCAACCGAATTCTACAAAAAGCACTTAAGTTCACTACAAGGTTCTAGAAGGCATTCGTTTTGTCTGTCATTGTAACAATACTACAGATACTTAAAACAAGTTTGTCTGTGCTCTGCTGGCAGTCTGGCATACAAGTCACCAAGGCAAACAGAGTTTACAGAACATTTTGTATCACAAAAAAAGTCTTGCTTCTTCGCAATACAGAGGAATTGTTTGTACTTATAGAAATGGCAAATCATTCACTGAAAAAATCTACAGCGTTAACAACAGTTTTAAACTGTTCACTGGAAGAACGGATATTTCAACTGTAAAATTTTGTGCTCTATCCTACGGTTTACGGTAAGGAGGTATACAGTTCAAAACAGTGCTAACAAACTTCTTCAGTCCAATAAAACCAGACATCAAAACCACCACAGGTCAGAAGAATATTTTTAACAGTTCAACAAAACCGACAGCCAGCCTTTGCGAGAGATAAAGGTGTTGGGACCGTCGACCTCATCACCATCACCAGTCCAACAGGTCCGGGGTCGGGTCAACACCAGAGCCTACCGAACCCAGATCTGGGCACGAGGCGGCCCGGTGGGGACCGGCGGGGACGGGTGGGGGCGGAGTGATTTCGCTTTTACTTTCGTCCACCAATCACATGCAAATCACGCACGAGCCACGCCACGCCAACCGTTGTGCCGTGGTGCAAGGTGAAAGGGACGGGGAGGGCGGCAGAGAGAGAGAGAGAGAGAGAGAGAGAGAGAGAGAGAGAGAGAGA